GTATTGCATATATATGAATATACTTTATTAATACACTTTCCTGTAAGTCGTAGGTTTCTGTCTGTTCAGTGTGAAGTTAAAATAAATTAGTAATTGAATAAACATCCCAAAGCACTATTTTGGCTTATTTTTCCGTACTAACGGGGCCTTTACTTAGTTTACAATACAAGTATGCCCGGGGCTGGCCTACTAACTTTTTTATTTTTTTTTTTGGTTTACTTTCTACGAAATATCAAATGCAATGCAAGACATAAATATAAATATATGTTTTCACAAATTACGATTGTTAATTTCTAGAAGTGCTTTTATTTCCATTAATTATGGTAGTATTAATGAGGGAGAAGTGTGTGACCTTAATAAGCACGGTCTCCGAGCATTTGGCTACATTTGAATATCCGCAAGCACAAACAACGGTTCATGAATGATTATAGGTCTGTGCACTTTTTGATAACCTAGATATTTTTTTGGCCAGTATTACTTACAATATCGTTATATTTCTCAATTTCAGTGATGAGCTCTCTTCATCAATTACATCCTGTTGTATCGTTATTCGTTATTATTTGCCTTGATAGTATTCATAAAGCCTACAATATGACGATTGATATTAAGATAAAAATTTGCTATTTATTAATATATTTAGCATACGATACTATAGCAGAAGTGCCCATAATATTACGATGACATTAGGATTTGAATAAATAAGAACAGAAAAGGGTGTCATAAGATTTTAACCCAGGAATTGGCAGACCGTAATATTAATATTTTCCCCCGAATTTTACAAGCCTGTGTTTTGTAATCGTTGCCTTTGAGATAATTTGTTTTTCCTTCGTTGCATAATACAGAATATTTTTTCAGTAAATTTTTGACCAAAGAAAGTTTATTATAAAGAAATTGATATATCTTTTTATGATGATCTTTCGTCAACAGTAATCTGTGGCATTACATGTATTAGATTTAAACTCCGTTCACGGAGAAGTCATCTGGGCCTTGTGCGGTAGTGTACGAGTCACAAAATGCACGCCGTCGGATCACTGCGAGAACGATTTAAGCCTGGTCGCGTGTGTCAGTACTTATCGAGATTATCAATGTTTATGATTAATTGGCTTATGGTTGTCATAAATGATATCTTACACCATTGCTAACGATCATATACACGGCGAGTGTCGAACGCTGAGAACATTCAACTTCATTAAACAATAACAAGGATTCCTTCTAATGAACGCTTCATATCAGAAATAAACTAGATTTTGAAATCATATTCCAGCTTGTCATTTATCACAGTTACTGAGATTTCATCGACATTCAAATATTTGCAGAACCTCCCCGACGTACTATTTCACGTCCATCAATATTAAAGGATATGTTTTAAAAGTCAATATATTTATTAATAAATCGAGCCATAAAGCTAATTACCTGTACTCACTTTCTGAGATCTACCACCAGTCAAACTATATAGTTATGGGGAGCATGCGTTCAAGATCACTGGCCACAACCAATAAGTATTTTATCTGTTCATGTCCGTTTTTAGACCTTTTGATTATTATTTATCGATTAACATTCCACATAATTAATATTAATATAACTAGGCCTACTTCGTGCTTCTTTACAAGGACTGGTTCTACGATATAATCATTTATAATATTAAATAAATTATAAATATAGGCCTATTATAAATATTGTTGTTTTTAAGGGAGGTTTCAGGTTGTATTATTGTCGTGGGCAGTATTAGCAGCTGATCTACATTATTTAACTTTTTTTCTTTTACATTGCCCTCTAAGTTATTAAAAGGCACGGATTGCCGTCGGTATGTTCAAAGAAACGAAGGTGGTCTATGTAAATCTTCCTCAGGGGGACTTTCCATCGTCACTATAACATGTCTAGAATCAACGCAACTGGATTAGCTGTCTCTTGTTGTCAACAGGCTCATGTTATGAACAACTTTATTGTTAACCCATCACCGGATAAATCTACAATTTTTTAATGTTTTGTCCCGTAACGTTGATGAATAGTTAGGCCAACTGAATTTATGTAACTACAGTATATTCAGAATATCTCATAATTATACCAGTCATATAGGCCTACTCTTGTTCTTTTTTATTGTCCCTTTCTCTCAACCTGTCCCAACAAATTTTGATATATTACAACACATCACCGGATATAACTTATGTTTTGTCCTACTGAATTGATGTAATACTATATAAGCATACACCATTCGTACACTTGTTCATTTTTATTGCTCTTTCCTATCAATCTGTCCAAAAAATGTACCATATTAATACTAGCGTATGTTTTTTTGCTAGAATCAGCGGACAAGGATTCATCAAACTTTGTCACTTAGGACTAAAGGCTCTGTTCACTCTAATGTATCAAAGTTTTATGTGACAAATATCTGTAACTGTACCCATATTATAATCGCATGATGAGTAAATCACATTTTACACATAAAAATAGAGCTTAAGATATATTTAGTCACCTGATCAAACAAATTTTATGTTTTTCGAAGTTTATTGAAAGTCCGACAGTAGCTTTATTCAGAGTCTGCTCAAAAATTGTCAGGATAATCAAGTTGCTATCGTTACACAGAGTTCAACTGAACTAAGGGAATTATACTGGTAGACCAACTTTTTCATAGGTTAGACTTATACTGAACGAACTGAACGATGTAAAATTATGAAGGGAGTGATTTGATTAGAAAGGGATAGAAAGACAAGAGCTTAAATGCAGAGGTGGATTTAATTAAATTTATACAAATAAATAAACAACTACTGATATGATTATGGGGACGTTAATGATTTGACCCAATTTTTAATCTATAGTTAATACTTACAAGGGATTTTTTTGAAAAACAAAATCGTCTACATAGTTTTATTTGCGATTTTTTTTTTCTTTTTGGTTTTTTTTTTTTCTTGCTATTTTTTTAATACCACTTATGATTCTCATGCTGAGACAATCAATTTTCTTAGCTTGCCCTTTGCCCTTTTGGCCTGGGGCACGGCATCGTGTCTGGTTCTATGTATCTCACTAGGATAACTCTTTTCTTTGTTGTTACAGACTCCGGGAACCCTACAGACTACTACGGCGCTCAAGGTTACTACGACTTTTATCCCGGGCAACAGCCGCCTGGTGGCGAGCCTCAGCAGGCTGAAATGGCACCGTATATCCCACCTGTATCGCAAAATAATCCTCTAACAAGTATAGAACAACCCATGCATCAACAAGGTAATATGCACCAGGATGTGCCATATATGCATCACCATAGAGACCTTAGCCCTAGTCCAGAACCTGTACCGCTGCCTGGTACAGGGGACATGTTCCGATCTCCAGATCGCTTCAGTCACGGACCGAGAGGGGGCGCTATGCATGGAATACCGAATGGTTTTCGAGGACTGCCACATCATCCTGAACACACGGAAGGGACAGTTTGGTGATAATTTAAAACTAGTGCCTTTGGGAAATAAATTTCTTTCTCATTTGCATTCAAGAAGAATCTGATCGACGAACTTAAATGACGCAATTTGAGTTTATCTGGTGATGCAAGTGGATCGCTCAAACAAATTTTGTTAAAGATGGTTGAGTAAAAACGAGACGCTTGGAGGGCGGTGTGGCGCGGCATAGGCCTAGACTTTCCAATATAAATATTCTATAATATGACGAATGTTTTAAAATCAATTCGTTCATTTATTGAAATAAAAGACTTGATTACTGATCGAGAAGTTAATATGAGTTGGCCTGCAAGGCATGATGTCATGGGTGATATTGCCTACACTCTACAGGGGTGGTGTTCAATGATCTGTGAGCCTATTTAATAGGGAGAAACTCCCTGATAAATACAACTATAGAGTATCGTTTTGTGCATAATATCTTCAGTGTTAGTGTAGCAAAAATTTATGTCAACTGTTGAAGGTGATGTTCTGTAATTATAATGATGATAATGTTGTATTTTATAAACTTGTTATTAAGTGCAATGGTGTAATCTTCATAGCTGCGATGTGCTGGATCTTATTGTGTAGTTTAATATGGAATGCTAAAATGCCCTTTTTGGCGTTGCATAGTTTTTATGTTCGTATTATAATAATAATAATATTCATTCCTGTCCGCCCTTTGGGACATGTTTGACCATTCTTCAAAGTGCGAATCTGAACAAATATTTTTAACAGATTGCGCATGCTCAATGGGCTGGGAGATAGGGATATAATTTAAGGTGAGGTGAGACTTATTGTTTTTTTATCACATGATACATGTTACCGAATAAATCCCAAATTATAACAATCAATGGACTTATTCGACTGGTTCATATTTTGAGTACCGTACGAATTTTCGTTGAGTATTATTTTCAATCGACTGGTTCGTAAAATATACTTCATTAACATTGAAAATTAACGTAACCAGAATGCGTTAATCAGCGTTAAATTTCAGAAAATAAAAATTATAATATTCACCCACATTGAAGTCAAAAAATAATTGTAGGCTAACAGAATCCAAAAACTGGATGAAAACTTTTTTTTCGAAAAACCCATACTGCCACAATCCGAAGCAGCATTGATTACGCATCGTGTATCGTGGTAACTATGCAGCCATTTTGTTTTGTCTAGTATTTACAAGTTTTTTATTCGACTGGTCGTCTTCGTTATGTAGAAATTTACCACTGCGCAGGTGGGAGTGGTTTAACGAAGAACGACCTGTCGAATACGGCCAAAGTTTGTGTTGCATTTATTTGATTTCGTTGTTGAGTTTTATCAAGTTGTGTAACGGGAGAATTTGGACAAGGATCCTGGCGGAGAATGGAACAGTATACCAATGCCTATATTAGTCTACTCCAGGGCAGGGGAACAGTGGCGGATCCAAGAGGGACATTTAAATGTGAAGGGTCAAGTCTACGGTAACTCAGCTCCACTATGGTTATGGCCGAAAATGGTGCTTTTTCAGACAAGGTCAGAGTCGCAATACAGGTTGTAGGTAGGCCTTCAACATTGAGCAGTAAACCTCACTGAGCGTATTACGTAACAAATTTTGATCAACGAAACTATATAAGCCAAGTTTTTATTTTTGTTTTGTTAATTATTTTGAAACTTTGTATCCCGGCAAATAGAATGCTGTGGGGTTGGCATTTCCCCTACACCGGTACCCATTAATTGTACACTTGGGTGGAGATATAAACGAAGATACAGTGTCTTTCCCAAGGAGACAAGCGATTTTCACAAAGCGAGGGTAGTCCTGGCCACAACCATTGCGCCAATCGCTTCCACCATAATATGGAAAAATAAAAATTAACTTGGAAGAGGAATTATTGGAGTCGACTTAAAGAGTCATTGATTTCAGATAATTGCCTTTAGATTACAAAAAAAAAAATGACCTAAAAAAATCGCAGAGTCTGACATCCTTCAAGTCTGGACTTACAAACATTTTTATTATCGGAACGGATACCGGCGGCTACAAATGCTCGATATTATTATTATTTATTACCGGTGCATAATTATAATCAATTGATTCCATCCCCTTTCATTGTTGTCCTTCCAAAATTATCGTTTCCTAAACAACCACTGGGGCCCATACTGTACTGGACCGTATTTCATGTCCACACGTCATATGGAAAACAAAAATTGTTTTGTTGCCCAAACACAATTGCATTTGGAAATTTGAGTCAACCGGTCGGTCGGTCGCACTTTTTACGCCTACTCTAGGGTTCATTATCAACCGTTACTTACCCCATGTATTTTTGTTGGCAAAATAGTACTCTCACTGCTAACATGATTTAAGTATCAAATTTAATAACTAAAGGTTAAAAAGTTGCCACTCGATTGTCGAATAATATATTTGGGGCTCGAGCTCCTTGGTTAAAACAAAATTGGAAAAACCGACCCTTGATTTACATTTGCACTATTGAGGCTTGGTCGGGCTTCAGCAACACAGAGTTTGTTATTGGCCTAATGTGGTCTGGCGAACATAGCATAGGCCTACTTACTTTCTATCACAGAACATTTGTATCTGGGATTGTTACTAAATTATATTGCTTCCCCTTTCGCTCATTTATAATTATGTTTCTTTAACCTTCCGTTTCTTCCTTTTAGGCCTACACATAATTATTTCCTCCTTTCATCGGATTGTTGTAGGGCTATAAAAGCTTATCTCACCAAATTTATCAGTCAAAAACCCCTCCGTAGATATTATTAAAGGCATCAGTGAATGGCAGATGACGTTGAATAGGCCAGTATTCCAAAAGCTGGTAAGCCGTTGAGTAATGTGGATAGTTGTGATACCCTATTGAAACACGGCAGAGATTGCCCGGAGGTGATAGTCTAAATATTTCATGTTCCTTATGATACCTAGCTTTAGCTTCCGACAGATTAGGCAGCTTCAAAGGCAACCTAAAGAAGCGTGAACCATGCCAGAAATAGTCAGATTCCACTATACAAAGAATGCTGTTTTTCCACTCAAGTTGTGGCTAAACTTGTTGTTTGCAGTAAAGAACAAACGATATCTGTTAGCCTGGAAATGTTTTTCAAAGTCTTTGACCGTCCCAAGGACGCCTATAAAATGCTACTTTTTAAAAAGTCAGTGGGCTCTGCAAGTATTTTTTAACACTAACCATGTTTTTGTGTTTTTTTTTTATGTTTATTTTTATGGTTTCTTTCTTTTACCTTGTTATATTATTATGGTTTTGTAAAGGTTCGTTCGTTTCTATAGTGTAAGAAAGCAATTTATATTTTGGTAACAATACACAATAAACTACCGTACACGTACATCTTTTAATCATAAATTATCAATTTTTCAGAAAGAACACGTCAAAATTATAGGCGTAGCATAGATCGGTGGTCCGCTCTTAGAAACTAATGATCCTCTTAGTAGTTTTTGGCAAGAAGGCGGTATTTCCTAAAACCCACAAGTCTACAGCGGATGACCCCTCCGTCCGTTCCCACTTTCAAATAAAGGACACCACATTTGCTGGATTAAAGTATTTTTATTGAGAATATATATTTTTTCCAGTTTAGTATTATACTTCAAATACTCCAATGCAGTGGTGGACGGTTAAGGGCGAGATAAAATAGGTAGACCGAGTAAAAATACATATTTTTATGTAGGCCTAATTAAATCAAGCTGACACAGACACAAAATACTGTACTCGGCTAAGCTTGTCCTAAAATGTATAATTTCCCCCTCTAACCACCCGTTCTCATACAGCCTCCGTATCTTTCTATATATATAAGAGGGTAACTGGTTTTACGGTATACGGATACGGTGTAATATAGGCCTATGAACAAAATATTGAGCATTGAGCTTGAAATTGGCAAAAAAAAATATAATAACATTGAGCCTGGGCAAACTTTTTCGGGTTCTTATAAAATAAGTGAAGTACAGGGTAAGAATGACGACTCGAAAGTCGAGGAATGGACTCAATATCACGGTCCGATTAATCGCTCTTTAAGAAGATAGAAGGTTATGAAGAAATATTCAACGAACTTTCATCATTTGCGATATTGTTAAAAGAATAGGCAATGTATACGCCTATGGCTTGCTGTGTGTGGTCTCCACTTATTGCATGCCTCAATCTGACACAAAATGAACTAATAAACTATAGGCATATACCTATAGAAGAACATAACCGAACGAATTTATTCTCAATAAAAGACCAAAACCAAAATACATCTAACTCACTTGCACAATGCATGCTTAGTATTTTCCTATATTTATGTATCTTTCTTTCACACGTTGCCTTCCTAGGATCATCTTAATATGGTTCTTCGCATTCCCCGTTGAATAAATTCATATCATATTTCTAGCCTCATTATGTAAAACCCTCATTTATATTCAACTGAATCATCTCGTACCTCAATATTTACATATATTAGACGATATCAACGAATATTTAAAGAATTATTTGCCATCAAAAGATTTTTTAAAAATTTATTTTAAATCTACGAATTCATGCGCAAGGTCTCAGAAACACTGTTTTCCATTCATAGTGACACAATTCGTCAGTGTTTTTAACAAACAATACAATGAATTGTTTGTAAGTTGGCTACGTCTGCGTTATTTTTGTCGAAACCACGAGAAAAGTATTTGTGTTTTACTCCCACACACATGTTGTTATTTCACTCATAAACATATGAGTAAACTTATTATAACTTAACTTACTTGTGTATATAAATGATCCATTTTATTACGGATTTAGTAGAACACTTGACTGTTAGTATTCAACTTGGAGATGTTTAATCGAGTCGATTTCTTTTCTTATTGTTCTCTTATTGTACATGATAAATATATGAGAATACATCGGTTTCGTTCTCAGCAATTGTTATCAAAACACCAACACATCGGATGTCTCCTGTTGTTTGCACAGCTCAGCCATAACGTACGTAGCTTCACAATACGCTGAAAAGTGCATTTACCGCACTCCGTAAAAGGCTCCGCTTTTTGTAAGGTGAAGTGTACTACAAGGGCTGAATAGATCCAGCGAAGTGGGTGTCGGCGCCCGGGGCTAACTTCTCTGGTATGTGATCTTCCTGGCCTTACCCTAAGATTGTCATGTTCAATGTTGCAATGAAACGGAAGGATTTCACAGTCAATACAATAGGCTATAAACACCTGTGTGTGTTCGTTGAATGTTGACACGACGAATTAGGATTCGGAAAGGAGAAGAAGTAACGCTTGGTATTGACAGATGAATGGGATTAGGGTAGGGGCGAAGGTCTGTTTTTTCAATGATAACATGTTTCTAGTTGGAAAAACACGAATAGGCCTACCAGAATTAGAGTCGGTACCGACCACTTCAATTTAAAAACCAGAGCGTCAATTTTAGCAAAACCTCAAGCGATTTTATTAAATTTGGTTTTTTTTTTAAATCCCATCGATTCTGTACTAACCTTTTTAATTATTCCCCTTCTTTTAATTTTTATCTGATTTCATAATTCGATACGACAATATCACGTGAGGGCGCCCCTTAAACTTCGTAAATCAGTCCGAGTCAATACAAAGTGTGTAGGACCTACTGATAATATGCAGGTTCTTTTTATTGCTACTTATATCTATAACATGATCTTTAATTTTGAAATCTCTGTTAAATA